GAAGTTAGTTAGATCTCTAAGGGGAGATCCATCTTTGGAGAAGACATTCAGGCTTATTCAAAGGACATGGAATACCATCTCAACTGTCAACGTATATTTATCACCAAGCTATATGCCTTTAAATGAGGGATAAGGTTCACAACTAGCATGCATTTGCATGCTATACCATTTACATTTTATACAGAATTAAATGCATGCATTTTGGTGAAATTCAGAGGAAGCTGAGAGGATATTGGTACAACCGGGTTCACCATCTTTCTTCTCCCAAGCAAGATGTGCTCATCTAACGTTCTCTTTACCTCTTCAAAAGCATATCAGGTTTTATTTGAAAGCAGAGCCAAACAATATATTTAAGAAACGCCTATATCTTTTTTATCTTAAAGCAACCCGTGTCATTGATTTTTTCTACAATACGAAAGTTAATAGGATGAATTGCAAGTAGTTGCTATAGAAACTACCATTGGTCTCTCTCTCTCTCTCCAAGAGGAGGCGTACAATTAATTTGTCTTTTAACCTACTTTATTGCTGAAAAGTCCATATAAATGCTGTTGCACAGGTCTGGGTTCATTATACACTCTTGTGCCATTGTCCTCTGAAATCGCTTCAGAATTTTTTTGAAATGTTAATTGGAAGAATACTTTTCAACTTACACATTTTTTGTGGTCTAATTTGCTTAGGATAAAAGCAAAATAGTTCAAAGGGCTTGGATTTCCCCCCCCACTACTTTCTATTAGTTGTCCAATGCATGGCCATTGATGCTTCCCTCCCAACCAAGAAAACAGTCAAACAGACAATATTATTTCATTTGACAGAAGGCATTAGATCTGAAAGTTAATAGAACACATATTATTGCAAATGAAATGCGAATGGTTTTTTATAACAGACTCCTGAAACAACATGATTATGTTCTGTATAGGGCACACTGGACCTGGCCATTCTGGAATTATTAACGTAAATCTCCCACCGGAGGACTTCAGCATGAGACTCATCATAGGTCATGTCCAGCTCCTGCTACATTAATGGACACATGCTCATTGGCTGCCCTGTGTGTTTTATTTGGTGCCATTTCATTAGCAAACAGCAAACCTCGTTTAAGGAAGATGAATCCAATTCTGATCCGATTTGTACCATTTTATACCAGTGTAATTTCACTGACATCTTTCAGCATCTCCTTTGCAGCCTTAAATGAAATGAAAATAGCTCCTAATGTTTTTCACTAATTTCTCCTAATCTTAAAAGAGTACATTAAAGTACCTGGAATTTAGCAACATAAACACGTAAAAATGATTCACTTTGGCAAATTTCTAGGTGTGAAAGGGACAAGCATATTCATCAATAACAGGTGTTTTACATTTGAAGGCTTATTTTAAATAATGGCTGTGCTTTTTTCTCTCCTCTCCCCCAGTGCCTACACTATTATTTTAATATTAAACTTCTGAGTTCCTGCAGTACTTTTTGTCATAAACACAATTAAGTTTTAAGTATTAAATGGCCTCATCCCCATATCACTTATTCTTGTCTTTTACTTGCACAACAAAAAGGAAATTTATTAAAGGAGTAATAAAACTGTTGGCACATTCCCAAAATGCTACGTTTTAAACAACTGCGCTTCGGTTTTTGCATTCAGTGCTATACTGCTTAGACTGGTGCAACTCTATTGACCTCATGGCTTAAAACCAGTATATAACCAGTCCCAGAGGCAGCAGGCCAGTTATTAACTAAAGTTAACCCAAATCAATTTTCCATCCTGCTGTACAAGCCTAAGAATCTAAATCAGCAAGTCCAATAAAGGGACTAAGGAAGAACAGAAGAAAACGGAGGCGTGCTCAAAGTCACACATTCAATCAAGGTGCAACCATAGCCCATGTCTTCTCATAAGTAATCTAGAAAGTGGTCAGCTAAACTGCGTTGCCTCCAGTGTTAACCCCTAAAACCTTGCTAATGAAACGATTTAAGGAGAATACTATACATGACATAATATATGGGTGTCTGCTAAACAGAGACCGGCTGCTTTAGCACATCATAGCTAAAAAAATTTAGAGGGTACATGTATGAGGAAAGGGAGATTTTGAAAAGTGGGGAATGTTTGCTAATACTGATCAAATTCCCTCTAGACGGTACTAAAGAAAACAGCAACATATCTAAGCTTTCTGATGCACTTTTCAAAGTACATGTGTGACCAAAGGTCCCAGTGGCAGATTGTCAGGGTTGTAAAGGATGAATGAACTTTCCTCCAGCTCCTCTGCTCTTTCTGACTCTGTTTGCACAGAGAAATAGCAAAACGAGTCATCCAAGAACAATTCTGCCGCCTTCCTAGAAAAATACTACACTTCCCAAAGCAAAGCACTGCTTTGGTGTTCCAGGGCCCAATTCAATGGCCACTCTGATCCCAGAAGAGACTTCACCAAACTTTGGGTCAGGCTCTACATGAGGACCGTCAAGGATGCTCCTGACTTATAGCTCCCCCGATTCCTTAGTATGGGAATGAGGAAGATCATATATAGGGATAGCATACCACCAAATACTTGGCAATGATCTGACTAAGAGATCACACAATTCCATTTCATTAAATTGATGAGGTCAGCTTGTGTTCAGGTTAGTCTTGCTGGTTCAGTAGAGGAACCCACTTACTACACTGATAGATGAACACAGAGAGGAATAGCAGACCAGGGGAAAGAACTCGCGAGGCAAGCCAGAAAGGAGGCCGAGACAAGGTTGGAGGGACTGAAACAGTAATAACAGCTGGATAACTAATGGTCCAGAGTCAGGCAAAAGGACCAGAGAACTGCTAGTAAGAAAGAGGCATTTTGAGCAAAATGCATTTTTTTCCATGAAGGCAATCTTAATAAATAGGTCATTTGTATTTTGCTAGTTTCTACAGGATTAATTCCTTATTATTACAGGGTTGTCACTTATCTGGTCAGTTTATACATAGATATATCCAGTATTTGCTGAAAGTTGCATTTGAGCCAGTAAATCAATCAATCAATCCTATCCATCTTAGAGTTGAAGCGGAGTGAAGAAGAGCCGAGTTCTCTCTCCCTCTAACGAAATTACTGTTTCCAGAGTGAAGGTTAGTCGAGAAAGCTTCCTTGTAAAAACAAGCTCAAAACTTGAAAGAAAGAGACCTAAACTAAAGATTAAAAACAAGTTGAAATGAATGGAAGCCTCCTAATTAGGACAATCCGAAGATTTGGACATCAAAAGAGGACTTAGGGCAACTCAGATGCTTATAATTTTTGTTTTCCTTTTAAGACAAACAACATTTCCGCCCCCCACCTCGTTGCAAGCCTTAAGCATTTTTCCCCCTTTTAAATCAGAACTGGTGGCAGTGGCTCTATTCATGTTTGTTGACAAAAGTGCTTTGACAGCTTGAAGGAAGAAGAAGGGTTTTAAAAAGAAAATGTCATTCACTTCACTGCAGTACTGCTTAGTGATACAAGAGTAAAATGGAACAGAGTGAAAAGATGCTTAATTTCAGAACTTCGCTCTTGAGAATCAGAAAACAAAGTCACCCCGGAGCCCATACTCCATGGAAATTACTACTCAGCATGTAGTAAATAAATCTTGAAGTCATTTTCCCCATTTAAAGTCAAGCTCTTTGTTGGTATTCCTACACTGCAATCAGGCGCTAAGATCACAGCACCTGTAGACATGCCCGAGTTGGCTTTAATCTATCGGACTCAAGTAACAATAGTTACCATGCCTTCACTACGCAGGCTGCAGCGTGGGCTGTGTAGCACCACCGGGCTCTTCGCTACACATTCAGGCACCTGAATCTCACACAACTTTTCGTTACTACAGCTAAGTGAGCTAGGTAGCTGGGGTGCACCTCTGCACGCTGCAATCATACCTCTGCTGTGCAGACACATTCTTAAGTCCATCATTTTCCTACCCCTTTCTTCCTTTTCAGCATGAAAACAGCCCCCTCTCATTCGGTGTTCTCACATCCCTGTCCCAGCCCTCTGGTAATGTTCAGGTTGATTATTTCCAATAGCGCAGGCATCCTGGTCATTTTCTCTCTCTTAGAGGAGGGCTTTTCAACCTATTTTTTAATAAGGTGTACCCACAGCAGCCAAATTTGGAGTGGGGTGGGGGGTGGCAGCAGTGGCTGCCGTGTGCGAGTTCCCCTACCCCCACCGGGGCCGCTGTCCTCACCCCCTGCCCGCCTCCTGGGAGGCAGTAACATTAGTACAGGGAGATGGGTGTCCATGCTCCATCCCCACCCATGCATACCCCCTAGGGCCTTCCCAAGTACCCCTGTCTTACAGGACAACAACCCATTACACACGTAGAAGTTCAACCCATTGATACAGCATTATTCTAGTGCTTTTTTGCAACCTGCTTTAAAGATTTCAATCAAAGAAGATGCCACAGCGCTCCTTGAGTCTCCATTATTTGCCCCCGTGTATAACAGCACAAGCCAGCAGGGTAACATAAGCCGCTGTATCCTGTGTGTTTGACACCACCGATGCGGCAGGCAGAGCACAAGCTAAACATCAAGGTCTTAACGCTCTCGAGGGTGTGGGCCTATATTCAAGAACTTTTTGTACTTAGTCCTGATAAGTTTGGGTTCTCTCACCATGTTCAGTGTGAAAAAGGTTTGAAATGCTGGAAGTGAAGTGTAATATTTTTCTTCTTTCTGTACCCCAGCTTACCTTTCTGAGGACGGAGACCATAGTTTAGTTTCCTCACGATTCTGAAGTTGCTCTCTCTTTTACAGAGGAGTTAAATCTCAGCTAGAAAAAGAGTAACACCAAGCTCCTGAGGGAAAGTGCTCACTGGACCTATACTTAGTTGTAATGAGTTAATACATAGCAGTTTGCATAGACCCTTTAAGACAAATGTGAAGGTTGCCAGGAACAACTCTCAGTCCTTAAGGAAGGCTACCTCACTTTTAGTACTTGGTTTTCTTCCAAGTTGAAATGCAAGTTATAATTACACATACACTCAAACTGCCTTAGGACTTTTCTTGGGTGTTAATGGGAATGGGCACTTACCGTTCGTAGTTCCCATAGGACGACAGTCAAATTCTCTGGAGGACACGCAGTTGCTTAAAGCCTGTGAAACAACAGATGGTCCCTTAAGATCCCTGGTGTCAGTCTGAAGAAAGCAGCCTATTGTAAATTCAGGTATCCTCTTTTCCAGTGGGCTGAAGAAGGCTATGTTTTAGGCAATCAAACTGATAAAATCCTGAAATCCCATCTTTACAGCAAACTGTAGTATGACTGCTCTGGCTTCTACTTCTCTATATAAATTCCAGCCCCTTTCCTGTCTTTCCTATGGGGTCAAGTGAGAGTCTGGGTGTGTCCTGACAATCCATTTCCTCCAATGGAAATTAACTAAGCAGTTTTGAACAGCTAATGAGCACTCCCAATCCCCACCATGCTAAACAGCTGAAGACAATATTTTTCTCATCCCCCAGAGTCAACGCACCTGACTCCTGCAAGTCTGCAGAACCCCAGAATTCTCCAAAAGAAAAACTAGAACTCTGTGTCTTCCCACCATCCCTTCCCTTATTTAGAAGACTAATTATCTAATAATCTAATGCAATCCAAATGCTTGCCTAGCATCCAAACACAGCTGTGTTATGGAGGAAACTCTGCCTCTGACCGCATCCCTCCATCTCAGATAGGGATTCCTGATTGTTTTTAATCACAAACTAATTCATTTATCACCATTCTTCATAGTGGAACCCCTTCAGATTGTTTAGGGCATATTTGTTTGCCCAAATTGTCTGTGAGTGTAACACCAGCACATATCAGGGGAGAGATCCAGGAGGTGCAGCAGCCTAAATGAGATCAAAAATCACGTTCCTTCAAGGCAAGGGTGAATTTAACAACTTTCATTAACATTATTCAAGCTGCTCAGCTGTCTGGATACCTCAGCAGAGGCTTGAAAATCAAGTAAGGTATCTGTCCTTGTAATTATTGATATACCATGTTGCTCTTTTTGCTCCTTCACATTTAAAGACTTGTCCTGCCACCTGTTCTGAAGACTAAATGAGGAGATGCCCCCTTATTAAATAATTTACCACCTTTTTTGGACTCCCATATCACCAACATTGCAACACAACAACATCATTATTTTTATACTTAGAGGCCAGCTGGGAGTGGGATGATTGTGCTAGGCACTGTACAAACTCACATAAGATGCAGAACAAAGAATTACACTTTAGAGCAGTGAGAGCTGGGCATGTTGAGAACAAAACCTGCAAAAAACTGTTTGATGAGCCCCATTTTGATGGATACCTCCCCTCCACATGTGGCCATACCAACTGAATTCCTCTCTGCAGATCCCAGCAGGCCATTTGCTTGATACCTTGAAGTCTTTTAATTCCCCTTCCCCGGGGCCCAGCAGATCAATTCTGAAACTCATTTTAAGATGTTGCAAATATAAGGCCGGATGTAGCACAATAGTATCCTGAGATTTTGCTCACATCTGTGCTTTTGCTCAAATTTCAAATGCAAGCCCATTTATGTTTCTCAGGCATTCAAAACAGTCATAATACTGTCATAAAAGGTCAAGCTAGGATTGTTCCAGTGCAAGAGAGAAATCATGTAGGTGCATGTAAAGGAACAGCACATGGCTAACCCACGCTGAACACCAGAGCCAAACTAGCCTCTGCATACACCAGAGAATAGAGATCACACAGTAGCAAGTAGCAGACACCTTCCCTCATGCTTTTAAACTGTGCTGAGCACAACATGGGGACAGCTGGGGTCCTAGCCCCCACCGTTTAATTAGCAAAGAAGAAACATCTGTCTTGCCCATTAACACAGCCGATCATGATCAGTCACCTCAAAAGTCTTGTAAAGGAAGTAGAGGACACAAGGTGTTGCAGTTCAACCTTAGCTTTAGACCTGATAGCTCAAGCTCTGAGGAAGGCATGTGCGAGAGGCTTGTAAACATTATTTTTAAAAACCCTAATATTTCTTGGCGCTCTAATGACAAAGCAAGCTGTTTATGCACGTTATGAGAGAAATAGAGGGCTGCAAAACGCCCACTAAAAGAGTGGTGCTGCTGCCAGCACTGACACACATGTTTGAAATCATTATTTTGCTAATGCTATTAATGAATTTGTACAGCTAGCTGCAGCAGTTCAGTTCCATCATCATTTTATTCCCAGAGAGGGGGGGAAAAAAAGCAAAATGGTTAAAAGGATAAGCTGGGGAGAAAAACTCAGTCTGATTTCCAGCCAGAGAAAACTATTGCGTCTAAATTGTACATTAACTGGGCTATGTTCCACATAAAAGGAACATGAACTTCTGCTTCATCATTTTTTTACATCCTAGATAATTATGTATTTGTCCTTGCCTTCCTTTGTTTTTTTTCTGCAACTCCTGTTACTTTTCCTCCTAGCAAGAACTCATTTAAATATTCAGATTAGTAAGGGCCTGGTCAATGCAATGAGTTATGGAAAGTAATCGTGGGCTTAATCTTCAGCTGGTGTTAAGTAGCTAGTCTTCACTGGAGCTTTGCTGATCCATGCTAGCTGATGATACGCTCTTGTTTCCTTTGTAACGAATTACATGTGTAAGTGTAATAAAAACAGATGTAAAAGCACAGTCAGTGAGCCACATACTGAAGTGACAAAGTACCACTTTGGACCCTCCGCTGGAGGATCACAGCATATTTTACACCAAGTATAGTGACTTAGCATTATAAGAACACCTGAAGGGGAAAGGTATGGATTAATGTCCCTAGCTCAGAGATAAGGAAACCAACACATGGAGAAAACACATGGATCCTGCACATTGGAAAGTATCCAATGGAAGTCATTGGCCCAACTGCCCCCCGTCAACTCCCAGTTTCCTTGTTATCCCTGTGTTCAAAGCCTGACCTATATTCAGTACCTGTAGGTTTGGTCCTTCCAGGACTGGTGGCTAATACAGTGACCAGGAAGGCTTGTTAAAGTATTATTCAATCAGAACAGAAGCACTTCAGTATGCAAACAGTTTGCAAATATTTTTCCAGCATTCACATGGGGATATCGGCAGGTCTAAGCTTGAAGGAGGCACTGCCAGGATCTGGGGCTAGTTTCTTTCCTTCATTCCAAACCATTTTTCTCTTCATCTGCTTTGGGGAGTGTCACTGTATATCCTGCTTAGTGCTCTGATCCTCTTTTCTTCTCAAAGAACCAGTTGCATTTTAACCATTTGATCTGTTAATTCCTAGAGCTACTAAAGCAGACTTGGAAAGTCAAGCTGGAGTCAGGAAGTAGGGAAACAATAGTTTCCCTAACTGTTTTTTGAGTAACCTCTTATTAGACAAGACCCTTATGTTCCTATAGGATGCAGAGCTCATAATCCCTACCACTCTTGGCGTGGGGGGAACCAGGGCTCAAGAGAAACCATATGGTTAAGATTGCTATTCAGGGGGCCAGGATCATTCCCCCACAGCTACATGACTTCCTACACTACACCAATAGAAAAGAAACCCTGTGCTACACCTAATGCAGTTGGCTCAGTAAGGAATGA